AATTTTTGCGAAACGAATCGCACACGTCTACATTGGAGGATACAGTATGTCAGAGGACCCGAATCAGATGATCATGGATTGTCTTGATTGAAATGTAACTATTACTGATATGGAAAGGAATTCTAGCTGCAATCCAAAGGTTGCCAAATCGGCACCCAGCCTGGCAAACCCGTTCATGGCAAAATGGGAGATCTCTGGTAAAAGTTGGCCGGGATTACAATTATGGAAAAGATTAACTGCTGATATTTTTGGGATATGGAAGGGAGATCGAGAATCGTTGGAGAATCTTTTTCCAGCGCCTTGAAACAACCGGTACGGGATAACATTTTATATTGTAGTAGAAGAGGAGAAATTAACTTTTTGGATCTGACAATTTTTAAATATCAGAATAGTGTACTGAGACTTTCTTCAAACCACTAACAGGAATGGATATATACCCAGAAGTATCTTCCATCACCTGAGATGGATCTCCAGTATCTGTGAGGTACACAGGGCTAGAAAATGCGGCCCAATTACCTACAGTCATGGCTAAAAATATTGGCACCCCTGCAATTCTGTCAGATAATGCAACAAAATTGCAAAATTGTTGCAATCTCAAATGTTTCGGCATTCTCATGTTTATTTCTTTTGTTTGTATTGTTATGACACAAAAAAGTTGAGGGGGAAAAAAAAAAAGCCAAAGCTGACGCATTCCACGCAAAACTAAAAAAAATGGACTGGACATAATTATTGGCACCTTCTCCAAATTGCAAGAAATAATTGCATTCCAAGTCTGTGATGCTCCTGTAATTTGTAATTAAACTCACCGGTATCAATAACCAGGCGCTGACAATATAGAAATCACACCGGCAACCAGATAAAATGGTGAAAAATGGACCCAACCTTTCTGTTGTGTGTCTCTGTGTGCCACACGGAGCATGGAGAAGAGAAAGAGCAGCCAAGAAGTGTCTGAGGATTGGAGAACACAAATTGTGGAAAAGCACGGACAATCTCAAGGTTACAAGTCCATCTCCAAAGATCTTAAGTTTCTTGAATGTGCGCCTTACTGTAATCCATGGTTGTTTCCCTTCTCTTTGCTGCCTTTTAAATCCTCATGTCTTCTCATGCTTGGGAAGAACTTCCCTTTTCAGCTCAGGGCCTCTTCCTGTAGTGCTGGCTCAGGTTGCAAGCCTACACACAGACACCGTGTATCCATTCCTGAGACAAGGCAGTCTGCTGCAAAACAGAAGTTCTGCCCAGCATGAGAAGACATACAGATTTAAAAGGAAGAGCAGCAAAGAGAAGGGAAACAACCATGGATTACAGTAAGGCGCACATTACAGTATTGTTTTATGTTAGAAAATCTGAGGGTTTAATGTCACTTTAATGTTCCTGTGTCCACTGATGTGCAACATTGTCAAGTAGTTTCCATCCCGTGGCACTGGAGAGGATCTCCCCGGACGAGGACGAAAGAGAACAATTCATCAAAGATTGCAACGCAGGATTGTTGGAATGGTAGATAAAGACCCTCCGTCAACTTCAAGCTGACCTTCAGGCAGAGGGTACAACTGTGTCAGCTCGCACTATACGTCACCATCTGAGTGAAAAGGGACGCTATGATAGGAGACCCGGGAGGACCCCGCTGCTGACACAGAAACATAAACAGCCAGATTGGAGTTTGCCAAAACTTACCTGAGGAAGCCAAAATCTTTTTGGGAGAATGTGTGAGGTCAGACGAAACAAAATGACAGCTTTTTGGTGCGGCCCATCATTCTACTGGTTTCAGAAAAAGAAATTAGGCCTTTAAAGAAAAAAATACAGTCACACACAGTGGTGGTAGTGAGGGGGGGTTACGGATGTTTTGGGGTTGCTTTGCTGCTTCAGGCACTGGAATTCTTGACTGTGTGCACAGTGGCGTCACAAAGGGGGTGCGGGGTTGGCGGCATACCTTATCCCGCCGGGTGACTGTCCCCTCCTCTCTCTGCCGGCATCCATCACCAAGATGGCCGCCGGCAGGTATCAGAATACTGACGCGCGATGTCGTCATCGCGCACGCGTGTGGTGACGTCACGCTAATGCGCAGTGAAGTCTCGGCGGGGTGACACTCGGTTACCGCTCCGGGTGTCACCCAGCCTCGGGATGCCCCTGTGTGTGCATGTCATTATGAAGACTACCAAAGAATTCTGGGGTGCAATGTAGAGCCCAGTGTCAGAAGGTTGGGTCTCCGTCAGAGGTCATGTGTCTTACAGCAGGACAATGACCCCAAAGCACACGTCACAATGCACCCAGAAATGGTTTCAGACAAAGCGCTGGAGAGTACTGGACTGGTCAGCAATGAGTCCAGATCCAAATCCCATAGAGCACCTGTGGAGGGAAAAGGAACTTTCCAATCTGAGAGACCCGGAGCAGCTGGTGGAAGAAGAGTGGCCCAAAATTCCTGTAGAGAGGTGTAAGAAACTCATTGCTGGTTACAGGAAGCCATTGATATGTATTTTTCCCAAGGGCTGTGCTACCAAATATTAATGGAGGGTGTCAAGAATTTTGTCCATTCCATTTTTTGAGTTTTGCGTGGAATGTGTCAGATTTGGCTTTTTTGTCTCCACTTTTTTGTGTCATACCAATACAAACAAAAGAAATAAACATAAGAACGCCAAAACATTTGTAATTGCAACAATTCTCTGCGCGAAGTGGTGCATTATCTGACAGAAACGCAATATGTTTGGCCATGACTATACATAAAACTAAAGCTGAGGCTCCCAGAATTCAGATTCAGGCGCATTCGGATGCATTGAACCGAAAAACACATCTGATTGGGCATAAAAGTCACACGTCCGATTCAATTTTTTTTTTTAAACAAAATTCGGATGGGACACAAAATTTCGGAAGCTGAAATTCGGACGCATTCAGACGCATTGGGTTTTGGAAATTCAGATGTGTCCGAATTTCGATTCGGAACGAAAAGGAATCACACATGTCTAGCATGAGGTGGTGACACCAGGGAAGCGCATATTCACAGGGCTGAGTGGAATGGTGTCAGTCGTCACAAGGGGGGTGCGGCCCTCACCCGGGTGTCACCATTGCAGGGGTGACCCCAAAATGACCCCCCTCTAAAAAGTCAGGCACTCGGTCACGGACCGAGAGCCTGACAGTGTCAGGAGAGAGGAGGGGACCCGGCGGCATACCTCATCCCGCCAGGTGAACTGCCCCTCCTCTCTCCTCACCAAGATGGCCGTCGGCAGGCATCAATCAAATGGTCGCACATGCGCGATGAGGTCATCGCGCATGCACAAGGTGACGTCAGGCGCGCGATGACGACACAGCGGGGGCGTCACCTGGTCTAGAGACCGGGTGCCACCCGGCCTCGGGACGCCCCTGTGTAGAAATCCAGATTTATTTGTAGTTTGTGACTACGGGGGCGAAGGTTCTATTCCTGTTATTTGTATCGTGTCGATGTATTCGGTTATCACTAGGGGGAGCTGGCGCTATTGGATCGTCTGTAATAACGTGAAATATGACTTGGAACCTAATTGGCTAAAGGGTTACAGGAAAAAGGAGGTGGAAATAAAAGGTCAATGAAATCTTATATAGAGGGCGGCCAGGGTAACGTCTCATATGCCACTCCTGAGCCGTGACGCGGTGACAAAAGGCTTTGAGCGGGTCGCATTTGTGAGGTCATCACTTTGGGGAGAGATCTGTGTTTTGCCCTCGGAGGATCAGGAGCGCCGTGGGCTACACCAGCTGTCCGGGGAGCACCCGATGTGAGTTGTAATGCTGTTTTATCGGATTTTATACGATGCAGATTTTCCAGGAAGTCCAAGCACGGGAATGTCAGGATTAGGAGAGGAGAGCAAACGGAGTGTTCTTAAAGGGGAACTACTAGAATAATACCCACAGCCACTTTTTGAACTCACTTTGAAATAAGAGGTCATTTTTTAGCCGGTGTGCATACCCTGAGCGAGCGTTGGCACAGAGGAGAGCGCGGAGGTGGATTGAAGGGGGATGGGCACGCATTTATTGATGCATGAACCACAACTAATCTGTATGTATTTGATATACAGTAACATTAGGGATGAGCTTCGGATTGGGGTGGACCATAAACTCGACCCAAACCCAAGCCGCCGCAGTTTACCAAATGGTTGTTATAGGGTGCCCTGGGTTTGGTTCTCTTAGATGTTTGCCAATCTCGCATATATGGCTGGGTTTGGTGTGCTCATCACTAATTAACATTATTTATCTGCCACTTATATCCCAGGCATATGTTGATATAAAATAGTCCTCCATTTCCAGCAGTGACTCGGCTGCTTAACTCACCCAGCTTCCCCTTCTAACATTGACTCAGCAGCTCAGCTCCCCCTGCCAGCAGTGACTAAGCAGCTCAACTTCCCCTGCCAGTAGTGACTCAGCAGCTCGGCTCCCACTCCTAGTAGTTACTCAGCAGCTCAGCTCCCCCTGCCAGCAGTGACTAAGCAGCTCAACTTCCCCTGCCAGTAGTGACTCAGCAGCTCGGCTCCCACTCCTAGTAGTTACTCAGCAGCTCAGCTCCCCCTGCCAGCAGTGACTAAGCAGCTCAACTTCCCCTGCCAGTAGTGACTCAGCAGCTCGGCTCCCACTCCTAGTAGTTACTCAGCAGCTCAGCTCCCCCTGCCAGCAGTGACTAAGCAGCTCAACTTCCCCTGCCAGTAGTGACTCAGCAGCTCGGCTCCCACTCCTAGTAGTTACTCAGCAGCTCAGCTCCCCCTGCCAACAGTGACTCAGCAGTGGAGTTCCCCCATCCTTGCAGTTACTCAGCAGCTAGCTCCCTCTTCTCCCTCTGCTCCCCCCTGCCAGCGGTGATTAGGCAGCTGAGCTCCCCCCTGCCAGCAGTGACTCATCCCCTCATCGCCCCCCCTCCCCAAAGTAACAACATAAAACAGAGAATTCTTACATTGTACTGAGCCGCGGTCACAGTTGCAGGCTGTAAGAGATGAGGAGTATTTGGCGCTGTCATGGTTGATGTCGGTACCGGTCTGTCTCTTGCAGGAAGATGGAATTCTCCGCCATCCTCGCTCTGTTGGTCACCTTCCTCATCACCCTCCACTTTCTCATGTCATGGTGGAGGCAGACCAGACGGTACAGGTCACTGCCCCCCGGACCCACCCCGCTGCCTTTCCTGGGCACCCCGAATTACATGGATCAGCAAACCGCCGTAAAAAACTACACCATGGTAAGTGACCTCTGGGGACTGTGGACTGGAGCATGCTGGGTAATGTCACAGAGGTGCCTCTAGATTAGGCAAGATAGTGAGACTCCAAAGAGCCCTGGTGAGACCCCACTGGGGAGTATCACCAGCACCAGTACTCTCTAGGGTCTCACCAGGGCTAGGTGGGGGTCTCACCAGGGCTCTCTAGGGTCTCACCAGGGCTGGGTGGGGTCTCACCAGGGCTCTGTGGGGTCTCACCAGTGCTCTCTAGGGTCTTACCAGGGCTATGTGGGGTCTCACCAGGGCCCCCTAGGGTCGCACTAGGGCTCCCTAGGGTCTCACCAGGGCTATGTGTGGTCTCACCAGGGCCCCCTAGGGTCTCACAGGGGCTATCCTCGGTCTCATAGGGCTCTGTGTGGTCTCACCAGGGCAACCTAGGGTCTCACCAGGGCAACCTAGGCTCTCACCAGGGCTCTCTAGGGTCTCACCAGTACTCTATGGAGTCTTACGAGGGCTGCGCGGGCCACGTCTCACTGATGCTGCGCAGGCTGGGACCGGGTCTCACCAGGGCAGTGCAGGCCGCATCTCGCGGACGGGAGCGCTCAGGACTAGGTGCCGATGTCTCTATCTGCCTCTGACACTAAACTCCTCCCAGCCAGATTGAGATCCTTGTGCGGTGGATGGAAGGGGTGACGTCTCTTCTCATTGGCTGGTGGGCGGAGCTCCAGAAGGCCAAGTGGAAGGACCAAGGAAGCGGATGAGCTGTCAGTTTGACAGCAACAGGGCTGAGAGCTCATACTTTACCTGGCTGCGTCGGCAAGGTAATGCGCCGGCAGGGCAAATTAGATGGCCGTGAGGCTCCTGGGAGCGCGAGGCCTTAGGCAACCGCCTCATTTGCCTAATTAAAGAGCCGCCTCTGGTTAATGATATCTACAGCCTTCTCAGGGGGCATCAAGTGGGGTTCTGACATTATTGTTAGAACTTTATTTGTAAAAATCAGCAGAACAGAATTTTCCCAATTATAGGAGGGAACAGGAAGTGGGAGTGGTCTGGTGGTATGGAGGAGAGTGCAGGAAGTGGGAGTGGTCTGGTGGGGTGGAGTTGGGAGCAGAAGGAGAAATCCTGGTGTGTAAGGGGTTGTCCTCTTCAACCTTTTACAGATGACTGTGAATAAGAACCCACCATGTAGATCCTGAAGAAGTATGGCATCTTTGGCCATGCCCCCCCCCTCCCCCGAGGTCTTCAAGAGTTCATACATGGTATCAAAAACAGAGAGAGAATGGAATACCATTCTACATGTTCCCTTCAGCATGGACGATCCTCACTTTTTCAGTTCAGGCCCACTTGCACACGGCTAGAATGTGTAAGAGATTTTGAGTGGTTGGAATTGTTCTTCATCAAATGTCTATGTACAGTGCAAACCTGCCATTTTGTAGCCTGCACACCTGACCCTCATTAATCACCTATAATACTGCGTGCTGGTGGGTCGACTGTCTGTGGTGACCTCCGACTCTCTGTTTTTGTTTTGCCTACGACAGCTCAGCCAAAAATACGGCCCAATGTTCACCCTCTGGAAGCTGTCCGAGCCGGTGGTGGTCCTCTGTGGTTATGAAGTGGTGAGTGACGCCCTGCAGAACCACGCCGAGGAGTTCAGCGCCCGCCCAATTGTACCCACGCTGCACTTTCCCACCGAGGGATACGGTATGATTGCTGGAACTTTTCATGTAACTCAACCTGCCCGGCTGTACATTATACGGATAATTCTTCCCCGTCAATGATAAAGCTTGTGGTCAGCTAGAAACAGGTCCTGAATATTGCCCTTTGTCCTCATTACTATTTAAATCATTCATGTGCTTCATCATCTCTGCTGGTGCTGTAAAAAGTGGACCCGTCAGTATAATTTAACAAGTCTGCAGGATTAAATCACTGACAAAGCATTTCCTCAGTCTCCCCTCCCCCAGTGATCAATCTGCTGCAGGCAGGAGGAAGCATTTCCTCAGTGATCAGTCTGCTGCAGGCAGGAGGAGGCATTTGCTCAGTCTCCCCTCCCCCACAATGATCAGACTGCAGATAATCTATACGTGAAATGAATACATTGTCAATCGCAGGATTTACTTCCAGAATCGTATATAGAAATCACAAGTCGTCTTGACTACCCTGCTCTTTCCCCCAACTTTTCCATTGAGATTGTTAGCACAACTATTCATCCCTCCCCCCATGCCAAGGTGCTAAGTGTAATTCTTGACCCGGACCTCACCTTTCTTCCCCACATCCAATCACTATTCAAATCCTGCCGCCCTCACCTCTGTCCCTCTCTGCCAATCCCTCCACTGGCTTCCATCCTCTGCCCCTCTCTGCCAATCCCTCCATTGGCTTCCATCGCCCGTCCCTCTCTGCCAATCCCTCCATTGGCTTCCATCCCCCACCCCTCTCTGCCAATCGCTCCACTGGTTTCCAATCGCCCAAAAAAATGAATTACAAAATATTAACAACCACTTACAAAGCCACCCACACTATAATCTCCAACCTCATCTCCAAGTATCACCCTAACTGTCCCCTCTGCTCCTCCAAAGACCTCCCAAGACCTCCTGCTTTCCAGCTCCCTTGTCAACTCCTCCCAAGACTTCTCTATAGTCTTGTCTCCCATCTTATGAAACTCCCTACCCCAACCTGTCCGGCTATCTCCTACCCTGTCTGCCTTTAGGTGATCCCGAAGAGTAATTTCTTCAGGGAAGCCTATACTTAAAGACGGGACAGGCTTATGCCAGAGATCAGCCAGGGACCTGTTAGCAGAGTTGTGAGGTTGGGGAACCGTAGGAAGAGGTCCTGCTGCTCTTTGTATTTCCGAGGAGAGGACATCTTTGGTGGCTCTTTATTTTGGGTGTTGGAGAAGCTCTGGCTGATCTCCGGCGTAAGTTTATAAGAACAATAGACATTGAGACCAGATGGTTCCCCTTTGGTTGTGGCCATTTGGTAGACTGTCTATTAGTATGCTGATAACATGTATTTTATCCCGCCATGTATTAAATACATATGAAGAAAGACGAGAGATGATTTTAGAAGGGTGTGTGACTGGATCCTCCGTCATATATCCCCCTGCGACTCCCACCATCAGGTAGGAGTAGCCGGCACAAAATTAAAAATTCAAACTCTAGTCCCTCTAACCCTGAGGAAGCAAGTAGCAGAATGCGTTGCAAGCTGAGACCACTGTGACTCGGCATCTGAAGATACTCAACACTTTATAGAGCTTTTGAGTTAACCAACTGTTATATTGTAACCATGATTATCCCTTACCTGTATACAATGTCAGTTTTATCGAATGGACTTCCTGATCAGCGAGCTGGAAGTAAACATGAACATCCATTTTGCAAAGTGTAAATCTACTCCTTTAGTAAATCAGCTCCACAATGTGCAAGATTAGGGGCGAGATTTTGCTATGGGGGGCCCACGTTCTCTAGTTTCACACTTTATTGATCAGCATGTTCTCGGTAGGCAATTCACTGACCATTTGCTTCCTCAGATATAAACGGCCCGCGATGGCGTCCTCTGCGCCGCTTCACCATCACCACTCTCAGGAACTCTGGGATGGGGAAGAAGACCATGGAATCCCGCGTGCTGGAGGAGGCCACTTACCTCAACCAGGAGGTGGCCGAGACAGAAGGTGGGAGGAAATTATTGTTTGCTTGAACTTTTTATTGCAAAATTAATTCTGTGAAAGAACTAGAAGTGCAACAATCGGCTGTGATTAGAAGATAACTAATGAGTTCTTTACAGTCATCATCTTGACAAACAGCCGGCTCCAACTCTCTCTGCTCGGCTTCACTGATCTTCCTGTCTAGTACAAGTGCAAGTGTCCAGCAGCTCTGCTAGCTTGGAGAAGAGAGGACGAAGAGCAGAGGGGCGCAGAGGGAGCGGAGGGGAGGGGAGAGGAATGCCTTGCTGTGCTTGTGTGTTTGTGGAGACCCACACAGCTTACTAGCACACACAGGCAGAGTTGGATTTCCCACAAGGCCAACCAAGGCCCAGCCTTGGGGCAGCAGGGGTGTGGAATTCCTATCCCCCGACGCCTGTGACATGCATTTCCAGGTGTCCGGCAGGTAATTGTTTTGTACATTTAGCCCTGTTTTGGGCAAGCAGAGCTAAATGTACAGCGGGGAAGCCGCCACTTGTTTAGCACATGTGATCTTGGCGATTTTGACGAGATCACTTGTATGCAGCCTGCAGATCTGCCATTCTCCATGGTGGGGGGGGCGTGGCGGGTAGGGGGGCGCATTGAGGAACCTGGCCTTGGGGTAGCAGAGAGAGTAAATCCGGCCCTGATCACATGTGTGGTACCATAGGGCACTGCAAAGGAAAGGAGCCACCCTAAAACTGGACTGCCAATCTCTATTGATACAGTGAAAACAAAGAATAAAGAAAACTATTGCAGACAATCAGAAATATAGATTTTGGTTTTAGAGATGCTTCAACCTTTTAGCTGCCACCGCCATATGCCTTACGTCGGCGGCAGCCTGGAGCTTCTTTACATTTCTTCTGCAGGCTGTCGGCCTTCTGTTGTTTTTTGAAGTTCGTCCCTGCATTGGTGCACCACCTATGGAGGCTGCTGTTTAGCCGCCCAGGCCACTTGTAGACAAAGAGAATCACCTGCTGAGAAGAACTACTTCAGGACCAGGATGTTTATAACAATATGGAAGAAATTGTCATTTGTTTTATCAGCTGTAAAAGTTACCTATTTATTTTTTATTTTTTCCCAGGAAAACCTTTCAATCCGTTACATATCCTGGCCAGCGCCGTGGGGAATATTATCAGCTTGGTGCTGTTTGGGGAACATTTTGACTACAAAGACCCGAAGTTACACGAGCTGATGACTCAAATTTCCGGACACATTCGAAGCATCTTGTCCCCATCGCATATGGTAGGTCACTGATGGCAGAATTTACTTTGTTATATGGGGCAAATTGATGGGTTCAGTCAGGGGTGGGCAATTCATTTTCTCAAGAGGCCACATGAGAAACTGGGACTGTTGTGGAGGGCCAACATATCAGTGTGAAGGTGCATAGGTACACAAGCAGGGGCATCCCGAGGCCTGGTGTCATCCGGCATGCGCGTCAGTATAATTGACGCCTGCCGGCGGCCATCTTGGAGGATGGACCCTGGCAGAGAGAGGAGGGGACGTTCACCCGGTGGGATGAGGTATGCCGCCGGGTCCCCTCCTCTCTCCTGACATTGTCGAGCTCTCGGCCCATGACCGAGTGCCTGACTTATTAGTGGGGGTGACACCAAAATGACTGTCAGTCATTTTGGTGTCACCCCTCCAATGGTGTCACCCGGGTGCGGGCCGCACCCTCCTTGTGCCAAAAGGTGGAGCTGCAGGAGTGGATGGATAAAGATACTCTTCTGTCCTCCTGTAATACTGAGGGTAGCGAACATATTTGACATCAATGGTTGCTAGAACCACCGGCGCCCCTAGCAACCAATAACTGCAGAAGAGGTGGACACCTGATGTCATTGGTTGCTAAGACACCAGGTTTAAGGTATGGAGTGAGGGTAAGGGTTGGATGTAGGGCTTGAAGTGAGTGTATGGGTTAGGTTTAGAGGTTGGAGTGTGGGTGTAAGGGTTAAGTTTAGGGTTTGAAGTTAGTTAAGATTTAGGTTTAGGATTTGAAGTGAGGCTAAGGGTTAGGATTAGGGTGTGAAGTGAGGGTAAGGATTAGATTTAGGGTTTTGAGTGAAATTAAGGCTTAGTTTAGGGTTTGGAGTGAGGGTAAGGTGTAGGGACTGGAGTGAAGTTAAGGGTTAGATTTAGTGTTTGGAGTAACGTTAAGGGCTAGGATTAGGGGTCGGAGTGAGGGTCAAGGTCAGGTTTAAGGTTTGGAGTGAGGGTAAGGGTTTGGTGTAGGGACTGGAGTGAGGGTAAGGGTTAGCTTTAGGGGTGGAGTAACGTTAAGGGTTAGGATTAGGGGTCGGAGTGAGGGTAAAGGTTAGGCTTAGGGTTTAGAGTGAATTTAGGGGTTAGATTTAGGGTTTAAAGTGAGGGTAAGGGTTAGGATTACTGTGTGAAGGGAGGGTAAAGGTAAGTATTGGGTTGTATGAGGTTAATGATTGGGTATTGGTATTAGTGCAAGTTTGTTGGTTAGGCTTAAGGATTATTGTGAGGTTGACGGTTAGTTTTAGGAGTTAATGTAAGGGTCAAAGGTTAGGTATTGGAATTATTATGTTCTAATAGCAGTTTTATATTATAATTATAATTGCAGTTATAGTATATCTAAATCTAGAACTTTTCAATGTAGTTTTGGATTGAGTGAGGGAAGGGTGCTCTCTGTGCCCTTGCTAATCTATATTCCCCGGTGACCACTGTCACCAGAACATACAGTAATGGGAAGCTTAACATTTTAGATTTCTTATAGAAACAGGAGGTGAGAGTAAATCTTCCAATAGGGACACTTGTTGTAGTGGCAGCTGTCTAAGTGAAGATCTACTCTCACTTCGGAGAGATTTTCAATCACATCCTGTTGTGTTGCAAGGTCAGGAAGTGGGGAGAAATTTCCTTAAAGCGATACAGACAACAACAAAAAGCTAACGGGTATCACTTCTTCCTTACTCCAGAAAAAGCAAGAAAATGTTTTGGCTTTACATAAACTGCAAAGTGTAGCTGCACCTTCAGTCCATTACATTATATGTGGCTCACCACCCCGTTCTCAGCCACCCCGGGTTTACTCACTTACCTGTTGCAGATTTATTGAGATATCCACTGTGCAGGCATACCATGTTATGGAGAGATTGTGAGGTCATTGGATAGGTATCCTTCTCACTGAAAAGACTCCGGAGTTCTGCATTAAGATATTAATTGCTTCCTCTTTGTGTCTCCGCCAATTAGCTCTGCAATGTCTTCCCGTTCCTTCTCAAACTGCCAATAGTGCCAAAGATCATCTTTAAGGAACAGTCCTACCTGCAAAACTTTGTGCTGAAATACATTGAGGAGCACAAACGTACCCTGAACCCCGAGGCCCCCCGAGATTTCGTCGATCATTTCCTGCTCAAGATAAAAGACGTGCCTACGTGAAAAATATTACATTTTGATTTGTTTTCCTTACCCTATCCTCATCTCACTGGTCTCGTCTTTCTTCCCATTTCGTAACCTATCCATTTCCTCTCCTCCTCCTCCTCTCTCCTCTTTCACTTTTTTTCTACACTTCCTCTTGTTTTTTCTCATCTTTTTTTTTTCTTTCTTTGGTCTCCCCTTTCTTTCCTTTTTCCTCTTCTCTCCGTCTCCTTTTCCCTCCTCCTTCTCTCCTCTTCCTACTCTCTCATCTCCCTCTATTGTTCTTCTTTCCTCTCCTTCTCTTCTTCTTCCTATCCTTGTGTCTCTGATCTCCTCTTTTTCCCCCTTACATTACCTATCAATTTCCTCTCTTTTCTTCTTCTTCTTCTTCTATTTTCTCCACTTCCTTTCCTCTTGTTTTTTCTTCTTCTTCTCCTTCTCTCCTCCCCTCTCCTCATATCTCCCTCCTATTGCTCCTCTCATATTCTCTCCTCTTCCTCTCTTCTTCCTATCATTGTGTCTTTGATTTCCTCTTTCTTCCCCTTATGTTACATATCCATTTACTCAACTCTTCCTCTCTCCTCTTTTATTTTCCTCCTTCTTTTCCAGTTTTCTTCACTACCTTTCCTCTTATTTCCTTTCCTCTTCCTCTCCTCTCTTCTTCCTCTGCTCTCCCCTTTCGTTCCTTTTTCCTCTCCTTTCCTCTCATCCTTCTCTCCTCTTCCTCCCCTCCTTTCTCATCTCCCTCCTATTGCTCCTCTCCTTTCCTCTCTTCTCTTCTTCCTATCGTTGTGTTTTTGAGTTCCTCTTTTTTCCCCTTTCATTACCTATCCATTTCCTCTTCTCTTCCTCTCTTCTCAGCTTCTCTTTTCCTCTTCAGCTCCACTTTTCTCCACGTTCTTTCCTCTTACTTCCTCTCCTCTCTTCTTCCTCTGCTCTCCCCTTACTCTCCTTTTTCCTCTTCCCTCCTTTCTTCTTCCTATCCTCATCTCTCTGATCTCCTCTTTCTTCCCTTTTAATTACCTATCGATTTCCTCTCCTCTTCCTCTCTTCTTCTCTTCCTTTACTCTTTCTTCCTCTCATCTCTTCTTCCTCTGCTATTCCCTTTCTCTCCTTTTTTTTGTGAGTGTGAAAGGGCCCTTTCCTTGCCTTGCAGTCGCAGCCCCATACTTGTTGCTCCCTCCTCCATTCTGACAGCGGTTCTCTCTTTGTCTTCCCAGATGGAGCACGAAGAGGATCCAGATTTCTGTGACCTGAGTGTCCTGAATGTTGGGGTGGGACTGTTGTCAGCAGGTGCTGAGACCACCGCTTCCACCCTGAAATTCTCCCTGGTCCTAATAGCTCACTATCCTGACGTCCAGGGTAAGTTCAATAATACCCTGTGCAGCAAGTAGAATGGAAAGCTTGTTATCTTTGTTACTTCATCATGATTGTGATTAGAGATGGGCTGCCGGTTCGAGTCGAACGTAAGTTCGACTCGTACATTGCCTGTTCGAGCATTCGCCGAAGTTTTTGGGGCGTTCGCGCTCTGTTCGACCGCGCAGCGTCCCACAAGGCAAAGCGCCCTCTGAAGCTCTAATTGGTCTAACAGGTCAGGTGCAAGACTTTGCCCAATCAGGGCTCAGTATTGAGTTAGAGCCATGATTGGGCAAAGTCATGAGGACTTTGTCCAATCATGTCTCGCCTGTCAGATGATGGCAAACTACACAATTGGGCGGAGCTTGCTGTCACCGCTAGCTCCACCCAATTGTGTATGTTTTGCCGGCATCTATCAAAATGTCATTAGGCGGCGGGAGTCAGCTGGTTGTGGGGACGATGCCTTGTCCCCATCGGCATGGGGACAAGGTGCTTTTCCAGGGGTGACCCTGGAAAAGCACCCTCATGTGGCCTTGTGTAGGAGGGAGTGCTCGCTCTCCACCCCCCCCCCCCCGCTTTCCGGCCCTTCCAGGCCTATGCTCGGATCAAGGGTCTGGTATGGAATTTTAGGGGGGACCCCACATTTCCTCCCACCCCAAATTCCAACCAGACCTCAAGGGCCTAGCATGACTTTAAGGGGGAACCCCCACACACTTTATTTTTTACATGGGGCCCCTCCTAAATATTCCTACCAGACCTTAAGGGTCTGGCATGACTTTTAGGGGGAACCCTACGCTTTTTTTTTTTTTAAATAAAGGTCCCTTCAAACATTCCTACCAGACCTAAAGGGTCTGGTATTTGGGTGGGGGAACTGCACGCTTTAAGAGTAAAAAAAAAAAATGTAATATTTTTTTTCTTTAGTAATATCAGTTTTGCTGCAGCAGGTTCTATAAGTCATGTTAAAATCACTGCTCCTTTAAAAACGTTTTTTTTCCCATTAATTCCTGTCCCCAAGGGCAGTACCCGGACCCCCATACATGTCCCCCAGGGCAGTACCCGGAACCCCCATACACCTTTTATGGACGTTTCCAAAAGTTCAACCCCCATTGACTTGCATTAGGTTCGAGTTTGTATTAAAACTTTTCGGCCGTTCGAATATTCGAATACGAACCGAACACGGGGGTATTCGGCCCATCACTAATTGAAATGTACCCAAAATAAAAAGAGACACCAACAAAAACCAGGCAGAACCCATCCAACACGACATAGTAAAAGAGCTCCGCAAATGTTGAGTTTGCTCGGTTCATGTAAGATTGAGAACCAAAAAATAGCTTTATTCATGGATTCACTAAGCTATTTAATGGGAGTGTTATACCTATAGTGGGTCGGTCCTCCCTTTCACATTCTACAAACATTAATTTGAGATTCTGGTCCATCAACACCGCACTTGTATATATTGACCTCCAGCTGCAGCTCATCCACTCACTCTTGGGTTACCAGATAACAGTATTCTAACAACCACGCTGCCAATTGCATTCAAATAACCATCAGATTTGGCACTCGCCGGATATGTCAGAGCCGCATTTCTGAAGGTCTATAATAGGCACGTTCAGATACCAGTGCCGATACTTGCCATTTACACGAGAACTACCAGGGTCACAGTGGTTGCAGCGGGGACCTGGCTCTGGTTGTCCACCATGGTCCTGAAATCATTAGTCCTGTATTGTTTTAGAAAAATTGTCACATGACACTAAAGAAAAAGATATATGTACTTGGTCTGGAAAAAATGGTAACGATGCATCCCGATTATACACTGAGTGGCCAGATTATTATGACCAACCCATCAGTACTTCGCAGATGATAGCTGGGCGGAGCCAGCCGTGATCTCATGGCTGGCTCCACCCAGTTGTAATAACAGATCAGCATCCCCAAATGACCAGGGGATGATATTTTAGTACATAGCTCCCTGGAACATAGCACCCTGGGAGATAGGAAATGTGGAATTGTGAGTATTATAATTATGTGATTGAGCGCAAAACAATAACTTTCTCAAAAAGGAAAACAATAAGATGTTTTGGGAATCTCAGTTGTGACATTCGCGGGGTTATCTATATACTGATTTGGGGCTTGTGGTGCTTCCTATATAGAGAAAACCATTAAAATGGTCAAAAAACATTTATATGACAATCTGTATGACATCCAAACCTTTCATTAAAGGTTCCCTCTTACTGGACGTGGTGGCAACATAGATATTAGTGTATGCGTGTTGTTGTATATTGGCCGCTACTTGTGTCTGGATTGGGGTTCTTTGGGCTTCTTGGCAAGCTTGCTGGTCATGTTTTGGGGAATATGGAGTTCTTGTGATAATTTTCCAGCATGCTTGTTGATGTCCAACAATGCTCTTTCGATAGTAATACCTCGTGACTCCACGAGATGTTGAAAGGTGATGCGAGGAATCTGACACGGCACTGTGGCCCTTCTGTTGTCTTGTACCAGTCTTGCCACTCTCCGTTCTGCCCTAACATTGACTAGTCGCTGACGGCCACAATTCGCACGCTCAGACCCAGATTTTCGGCTGACAGTCCGGTCTTTAAACACTTTAACAATGAGCCCCTCTTGAACATTTAACGAATTCTGCTGTTTTGCTGATACTCGCTCCATGGCTCCGAGCGCCAACAATCATCCCGCGTTCAAAGACTGTTACATCGCGTTGTTTACCCGTATCTTCAGAAACAAATCACTTCTACTGTCGTGGTAAACAACCCGCTTCCCTATTTATAATGGTCTGGCCCTCTAGCAACTTCAGCGCCAAATTATAATAGAAACATCCAGTGGTTAGAGCGCACTCCTGTAGGACAAATTTGCTAGCTGTGGACATCGCATCAAACAGACTGTGGAGAACATTCTGTGAGAGACACCAGGGCATATAGGCTCACATCCCAACTGTAAGTCATCAATTTGTCCCCTTTTTATATGCCTAATCAGTTTTGGTTGTCTGTATTGCACTCTGATATACATTTTTCCAAGTTCAGCACATTGGGCCATTACTCTTATCATAGGTAGTCGCGCTCCTCAAAAACGAGTTTTTTTGTTAGCGCCAAATTATAGCTAATGTGCCTACAAACGTCAGGTGGTCATAATAATCTGGCCACTCAGTGTATACATATAAGCAGAAATCATACATTATAACAGGGATGCACAAACCACAGGAGCCCCGTATGCTCCTTGAAAATGGCAGCTGCCTCCTAACTTTTGAGTTTTTCTCTAGTCTAGTCTTGGAACTGGAAAAGTATCTGTACATGTACTTGTACCGAGTACCATACTTGGTATCTGAGCATCCCTAGTCTATAAACACTTTTGTTACAGCCTCCCGATCATCGGTTCTCCAGGTATTGGAGCGCAGCAACACCAACCGCCCCATGCTGCTCTTCCTCCTTCAAGCTCTTTGGTCACTCTCGAGCTCCACAGCCGCACAGCTAGCCGGGACGGCAGCTTCCATTTTCCTGGGACTTTTCATCCTTCCTCCGGCATATCTGGCAGGAACGTGATACACAGTCACAGTTAAAATTAAAACCGTGCAATCTCAGTTTATTTATAACAAAGCACAATGATAAACGCCAGCCCTATCATGCCTGGCATTTTTTGTCTATTGACCTTATCAGAGGCATAGTGCTGGCTAAACAGCTACGTCCTTAACCACTTCAGTACCGGAATGCAGTACTCTCTCTCTTAGTTGTTTTAATTTTTATTGTTTTTATTATAATTTTTTTTTACTTTTTTTTTTTAATTTCAATTTTATTTTGTCACTTAACTTTCTTGCTATCACACAGAAGCCTAAAACATGGAGCTTGGTAATGGTGCACTAGATGCATATATTTTATGAAGGTTTTGCCAGGCGTATGACCTCCTCCTCCCATTCAATGGTTCACTTATAAAAGTTACACCCGGCGTATAGCCAGGCACATGCTGTTCGCACGGCACTGGCTCCCCCTAGTTGATGTTATAGGGAATGCCTATACTCGCCAGTGCCGTGCAAATATAGCGAGGCGGATCTTTTATACATGAACCCCTGAATGTACAGGTCATGCACAGAGGGAGGAGGCACTCACTACATTAAAGGGATTTTTTCAAGTAAGCTTTGATTGCATTATCAGAAACACCTCTACTATGTATTCCTATTACAGTGCTGATGTTAGAATAGGATGTGCTGGGACTTTATAACTCCTTTTAAAACCTCTGAAATGTGATTCTGAATCATTCAGGCGGATTGGAAGTAGATTTATCTTTACATTGGTATTATTCCCTTTTTTAGCCCCATTCATATTATTAGCCCTTTTAGGGAGACCTTCTTTGTGTGCGTATTGTGGAACCTGGCCTTGGGGCGGCAGGGGGAGTAAATCCGGCCCTGCTTATCAGTTGTGTGCCTCAGCAGAAATGGAGATTTATTGGAGCGGGATCCATGTTTATAGTCTTCATCTATCTAGTCCTGGTGAACCTCAGCCTCAGCTTTCTGTTCTTGGCAGACTGGTGAGGAACCCAACGTGAACCTCTACAGTTGTAGTCCAATCACCTCAAGGTTCAACATGTTGTCTCTTCTCAAATGCTTTTCTGCTCCTCAGAACCAAGAGCTACTGTAGCCTGTATGTATGTCTGGCCATTCTCCTCTGACCCCTTTCATCAACAAGGTGTTTCTGTCTGCAGAACCACCGCTCACTGGATGTTTTCTGCTTTCCACACTGTAGCCCAGCTCATCCCCGTTGGCTGTTGGCTATGATGGGTTCTTCTGTCTTCTAGAGTTGGACATTTGCCAACACACCTGAGGCGTG